GCGTGAGTTTTTCCAGATAGGTCGCTTTATGTTTTGGGATTTTTAAGCATCTGTTAGTAGGTCTTACGGAATTGATAGATGTGATTACTAACAGTAAATATTTTCATCAATATATTAAGCCTGCTTATTACGTGTACTTATTTTGTCATGGTTATCAGCGAACTAGACTGTCAAATAATGCATAACAAGTAGAAATGCATACAATCAAGTAGAAATGCTGGTCTGTCAAGTAGAATTTCTAACACACGCGGACTTACATCACAACTTGTAAGTTAATTGTAAATTCAGAGAGTTAGAGTTTATGTGAATTTTTCGATCTTGAACCATTTACCATTTCTATTTTTGTTTGAATGACAGAGGCATTTGGTATTATTCAACTATAATGTAAACACACGACTTTGGGGGTAGCGCCATTCGAGAGGCACTCGTCGACATGTAAGAAAATATAGTTCAAAAGTTCATAGCAGAGACAAAAACTATTATGATATATATTTTCCTTGATTTCATCGGAGCTGTTGAAACGGCAAAATTCGCGGAGTAAACTATATAATAGATGTATTATATCGAGGTTACTATACAGATTCAAAATGCAATGGTTTTTATTATTATTACATAAAGATACATTACTTATTTAAATTATATATACTTAAAGTCCAGCGTTAAATATGTGCGTTTACGTAGGCAGATGCGCATGCTCCGATTCCGAGATCGGCAAATGAGGCCGTTGCATGCATCGCGCCAAAGACACAGTTGGGGCGGGGCATTCTCAATTGGGCACTGCGCGTAATAGGAAGACGAGCGCGGTAAACCGGGGTGGGCCGAGAAGAAGCGGATCGGTTACATCCGAGAACCGGCGTTTTATGAGCGCTCGCTTACGTGAAACAGATTACAGCTCGTTGGAGCAGAAGAGCTATGGTGAAGTTCTTTGGAATACATAGGTGCCTGCGGGGTCTAGCCTATTCCAGCGTCTTGTCTTTTCGTGCACGACATTGGTTCAGTTTGTTAAATCTTTTTAAGTACCTGATATTTAGATCGCTATTCTAGTAGAGGGCTTCCGCTCCCTGTAATTCATAGAGTTTCTGCCACTGGTAGGTAGCGAGAGGTATTTTGAGTTGGGTATGTGGTATTGATTCTGAAAGGACGCACATCACTTAGTAGCGCTCTTATCCATTGCCACAAAAGTACGCTGTAGAATTTCTTACCTATATTTCATATGCGCACAGGACATGTCTCAGTTGTTGTGGCCTCATGCCGATTATTCCGCGGCGGCAGATTGTTCGTTGCTTTTCGACCTTGAATAATTCTATCTTATTCTAGGGTTGTCTGGTTTATTTGCCAAATTATAATTTAGACTTTAAATATTAGTATAATATATCGTAACTGCAATACTGTTGTATCCTTAAATTAATATCGTTTTACCTCTTCTATATAGGTAAAATGATATCATCATTTTTTCTTATTCGATTTGTGAAATAATATGTTCCACACAATACTTCTATTTATATATCAGTTAGAAAATTTTATTAATTCGTGCTGTGGGGCATAATAATTCGTAATGCTATTGACGGAAACCCAGAAGTTGTATTGTACAGGGGATTTTAAGAGAGTTTTATTTGTATCTGTTCAAAAACGGCTCAGGTGGTCTATCAAATTAAATATAGACTATTTTGGCACTGAAAGTAGCAACACATATAATATTAATAGCAGAAGTTTATGGGCTTAACTATCTGACTTGTTATGACTTTAATTTTTCTTGGGGACACGAATTATGTACTTAAACCTCACCATTGAATTTCAAGTTTATTGGGATTGTCTTTTAGCTAAATTGGGTCGAACTGACTTGTGTGGTCTTCATTGTTAATGAAAAGGTGTTGTTAGCTCTTATAAGTCGTATGGGAGTCTGAGACTAATGCGGTAGTGGGTCAGAAGCAAGGGGTTTCTGAAATAAGAAAATAATTGGAAAAGTTTATAATTTCGGATCTTGGTACGACCATCGAAACACGAATTTTTCTGTTCCTTCTCTCGTAGCAGCCCAGACACGCTGGTTTTTGCGCAACAGGGACGGTCTTAATTCTACAAAGAGCAGGGCTGTGTTAAGATTGCACTAATGAGTAATGGAGCCAAGAGTCTAGGATTTGTGAATACCTGGGAGGGTGCACAAGCTCTGCTCGGGAGAGAGCGGCCAGTTGGCGGTATTTTGGGTTTCAATGTTTCAATTCATCGTTTTGCTGAAGTACCTTGAAATGTTGAATATCATTAAAAGAGAAATATGTATAACTAAATTATTATAAGATCTTTTCGATTATCTGGGGGTTTGTAATCGAACAACCCTAAAGCGCCTAGCCGCACTGTTGTGGGTATTTTTTTTATATTTTGTTTTCAGAAACTTTTATTTAAACAAATGCTAATTATTTCAATAAATAATTTTTATTTTAACATTTTCTAAATATTTGTTCATTTTTGATATTGTAAATTTTATTGGCTTTGTTAATTAAAAGCTAATATGCTTTGGTTCATTATTATTTATGAATTTGCATTTACATTTTATATATCTGTTTTAAAATTGTTATACAAGGCATGTAGTGAATGTTCCCTTTGCATTATCTTTCGATACTATTGTAGTAGTAAAGTGAATATAAATTCTTTCCTTTCAGTCATGTCTTACATTCAAATCTATTTACAGAGGGATATCCCGACAAGTAGTTTTTGGTGAAATCTTTGTCTTCCGAAAAGTGCAAGATAGGGGGTGGCGGCCGCTTGCGATTATGTTGGTCTGGCTCTGCTCCTGATGATCTCGCTGGATAATGTACCTTACATTTTGCACGTCTGTGTTTTGGCTGTTTGGTTGAGTATTTGAGCTTATTTTAATTGAAAAAGGCTCAACTTTTTAAACTATTTTTTTAGAATCTTTTTTAATTGAACTTTTATTTTTTTTATTGTCTTGGCTTTTTCTTTAAAAAAT